CCCTAAACCATCTGGCCAAACTTGGCCTCCAAAGCAGTCCTCAACTGGTGCTCCAGCGAAGGGCTTTGACAGTGGTCCGGGTTCAGGGTTTAGAGTTTAGGGTTTAGGGTTTCGGTGTTAGGATGTAGACTGAAAGTTTTTCTTACACAGACCATAGCGCCAAATTGAACCAAACGGTATGTTTTTCCATCGCTGTTGGGGTCTGTTGCTGAGATAATATTAATGTTATGACTAACATGATCTATCTCATCGTTATCTTTAGGAATATTGATATTGTTATTTAGCAGAAGTAGACATACTCTTATTCAAGAAACACTAGTATGTATTTCTACTGCTCTTATGATTACTTGTAGTATTATGCTTATTATCCCAGTTCTCATGCATGCCCTAACCATCCCAGAAACCTACACTTGAAGACCAGACCATAGCCCCCAAGCCATTCCGACATGACCCCATGACGCGGCCCGGAAACCGAAATCCTGACTCCTAAACCCTTCCCAAAGGGTCTAAGTGCCATTTTAGTGGGTACTTAGCAGGTATTTTGGCCCCAAAAGTATGTACTATACTGGTACTTGGACCCTTGGGGCTGCATATCGAATTACATCCTGAAGTGTAAACCTTACACCACCCTAGGCGCTAAAGTGATAAGTGGAGAAAAGTAGCTGCTGCAGGGCGGTAGTGAGGACATCCAGCTTCCGGCCGATGTCTCTTAGGAGAGCAGCTGCTTTCAAGTAGGAAGCCACATCAGCGGGCGTCTCCACCACAATCTGAGATCAGGGCTCTGGGTTTGGAGGCGCTTTAAGGTCTACAATGTAAGGGCCTTAATAATTAGAATCGAGTTTTGGGTATATTATACTGTTATTATAATAAGGAGCCCCCCAAAATAGCATAGGTACTTATTTAGGCTTCTGTATTAGGTCTGAGTGTACCTTTTGTGATCCGGCTCAGGCCCTGAACCCCAAACCCATTCGGTTGCCTACGGACATTAGGGCCCCAGAAAAGCACATAAGCAACACGTAGGATAGGGATATCCCATATACACCCCCTTTATAATGAAGCCCAACAAGGTAGGGATATCCCTATAACATGCTTATGCTTATGTCATTTTGGGGTTCCGAATCGGAGACAGGGCCTTGGGCTGGCTTGATCTGCGACTTAGAGATGGGGTCCAGGGTTTAGGGTTTAGGTTTCAGGATTTCGGGTTTGGGGTTTAGGGTTTAGGTCTAGGTCTTAGGTTTCAGGGTTTAGGGTTTGGGGTTTAGGGTTTAGGTTTCAGTCAAACCACCCAATGGGTCGCAAGTGAACCTCGAGTTTGGTCGTTGAACGTGGGTAGTAAAGGTGAATCGAGCCTCTAGTCCTAGACTTGAAACATCCTGATACCGAACATGCGAAGCCTTGCAATCCCCACAAACCGCCAAAACCCTATGAGCCTTGACCTTGCTGACAAATCCTACCCTCCGCCTTTTCCTGCGTGAAGGAAGAGGCCTTCTACAACCCTGAACCCTAAACCCTTTGTGGCTTTCAGCTCACCTTGGCGACCATCACGAAGGTAAAAGTCGGGGTCGGCCCGCTTTCGTCCTCAAGGGATCGTCGGCCGCATGAAGCAAGGAACAGAAGGATTAGGGTTTAGGGGTTTAGGGGTCAAGGGTTTTAGGGTTTAGGGTTTAGGGTTTCGGGGTTAGGAACAAACGGGTTTCGCACTTAAGTCTCGACAAGCTCTCGAGTACAAGCGTCCTTCCTTGTACCCGAAGCCGTTTAGGGCTCAGTCCGCACATGCCCAAAAGATTAGGCTGTAGGGTTCAGGAACGGGAATTGGACTCCCACTTCTCGGGGTCCGTAAGGCCCCTTACAGTCCTTGTATAACTATTCCGCATTATACCACCCCAAAAGACCGCTCTAAGTAGCAAGGCCCCTATGCTACCTTGTCTTTTTGGGGCCTCCGCGTCCGGAGCATCAGGAGAGTCGTGGAAATCGATCATGTGCTGCCGGAGCCCGAGAACCTGAAACATCAGGTGTAAGCTTCGGTTTGTCAGCAAACTAGGGTTGATAAAATCCAGCATTACTCATAATAAGGAACATCCCATAATTCCCATAGTTGGGGTCCTTGAAGTAGTGCAGGATTTATATCATCAACAGTACGACTGTTTAGGGTTCAGGGCACGGGGTAAAGTAGATCTCTTAAGGAGGTTACGCTACAGTACGATTTAGTAGTAGGGACCCAATTAAGTGATCTACTCTTCAGATCCACCTGGGGGTCTGGGTAAGACTAATATAGGGGCCTGAATAATGACAAAATTCTACTTTGGGGGTCCTTACCATAATATACGCCCTGAGCCCTATTTTGATTTTGAAACACTATACTAAACCGTGCCGTTATAGAAAAACTGCAAAGGAACCTTCAAAGGAACCCTATGCTGATTATGAAAGCTCCTATGCTGCCAATATAGGCTCCATTATAGTTCCTTCGTGTGGTTTATATATAGGAGCCCATAAAGTAATCCCAAAAAAGCAACGACTATGAAGGAACCCTTCCAGGAACCATTAAAAGGAACCCGTAAAGGGAACCCCTTAAAAGGAACCCTTAAACGGAACCCGATTCTGATCATGGAAAGCTCCTATACTAAACCCCTAAACCCTAAACCCTAAACCATCCGCCATATAGGAACCCCAAAGTCGTAGGTTTCTTGGGGTTTAGGGTGTAGGGTTTAGGGTTTAGGGTTTAGGGTCCTATACTAGAAGCCCAGGAGCAGAGGCAAAGGATCTCCGGAGGAGATGAGGCAAAGGCAAAGGATCCACGGGGCAGAGCAGTGGGTCACAGGCCAGGACGATGAGGCCACCTAGGCTTTGGGGTGAGGGTCTAGGGGTTAGGGTTTAGGGGCTTAAGGGGTTTAAGGGGCTTGAGGGGTTTGGGGTTTAAGGTTTGGGGTTTAGGGTTTAGGGTTTGGGGGTTTAGGGGTTTCGGGGTTCTGGGTTCAGGGTTACTAGGACCCCGTGTCTACCCTCCAGTTTCCCCAGAGACCTACTATTAAGGACCATAAGGGCTCGTTCGAAGGGCTCTTGGGGGGTCCTGTCACCTCAGAGCCTCACCAATAAATCTCACAACTCTAAACCCCAAAGCCCCAAATCCAACAACCCAAAGCCTAAAACTCTAAACCTTGAAATGCCAAACCCAAGCACCTTGAGCCTCAAAGCGCCCAAAGCCATAAACTCCCAAACATGCCCAAACACAGAAACCTCTCAACTTTCAGCCCAAATCCTCCGAGGCTCGAAACACAGAAGCCACAAAATCCTCAAAGAACACTCCATAAACCTTCCTAAACCCCTAACCCTTCCTGTGACCCAAAGATACTACTTTTTTAAGGAGTAATATATATATATATATATCTTTTGTAGACTCACTCCATCTTAAGGAACCCTAATATGGTAAGACTTTTCGGCTACCGGTGAATCCTAAACTCTGAACAGCTGCAAGCCGCGGAGGGTCGCTGTTGCGCCCCGAACCATGGCGCGACTGAAGATGTTGCTCAAGGCGCTTCCGAAGACGACCAGGTTTCCTTAGGGTATAGGGCCTAGGGTTTAGATGTTGCTCAAGGCACTTCCGAAGACGACCAGGTTTCCTTAGGGTATAGGGCCCAGGGTTTAGATGTTGCTCAAGGCACTTCCGAAGACGACCAGGTTTCCTTAGGGTTTAGGGTTTAGATGTTGCTCAAGGCACTTCCGAAGACGACCAGGTTTCTTTAGGGCTTAGGGTTTAGATGTTGCTCAAGGCACTTCCGAAGACGACCAGGTTTCCTTAGGGTTTAGGGTTTGGATGTTGCTCAAGGAACTTCCGAAGACGACCAGGCTTCCTTAGGGCTTTGGGTTTAGATGTTGCTCAAGGCACTTCCGAAGACGACCAGGTTTCCTTAGGGCTTAGGGTTTAGATGTTGCTCAAGGCACTTCCGAAGACGACCAGGTTTCCTTCGTGCCAGTCTACCTCCACCCCCCAAAAATATGCCTTTGCTCCGGAACACAGTTTCCGTGTAAAAGTCCGCAAACAACAGATTCTCGAGCGTGCCGGAAAGGCTTCTAGGTAATAGGGGGCAGCAGGAAATGGACATTACGTCAGGTTCGGGATTTTGACTCCAGAGCTTGGCGACTTGGCTTTGAAGTTTAGGGGCAGACCTTCCTATAGGACAAGGGTTTTGGGTGGGTATGTTGGTTCACGGAATGATGCAGAATCAGCTTAAACCTAGGCTCAGAGACAATAAAAGTTATAAGCTCAGAAGAGCAACAAACGATGAAGGTTTAGGGTTTATAGGGCTTGGGATTTATGTGCAAAGTTTCCGGAAACAGACTCTGCCACACCGGAGCTGCCCCAGTTTAGAGTCCAGCCCGTGGCGAAGTCGAGTGAACTGTCCACGATCGCACAGAGCACGGTCACTGGCGAGTCAAAGACAGCCTTGATTCGGATACTCCCTGCAGGGCAACCTGAGTTGGTCATTCAAGGGCCGCAGGGTTTAGGGTTTAGGGTTTAGGGTTTAGGGTAATTGGTGAATGGGTAATTACAATGCCTCATAAAGCGACGGCAGAGCTGGAGTTTCAAGCGTCTCTCATGTTGCAATCAAGCCACTTGCACAAGTACGAGGAGAGAAACTGGAAGGCATCTGCCACCAACCAGCTTTGAGTGCGTACTCGGTCGCATCGTTGTGGACAGATGCCACCACTCTTGAAGGGACCACCAGCTCTGTGCAAAGGGTGTCCTAGTTGCTGAGTTCCAATGGCCCCCAAGACGGCTGGCAGTTTGTATGTGGCAAGAGCCGCAAAGACGAGATAACTTATCCTAAAAGCTTCCATGCTACCCCTCAAGTATGCATGCATCCTATAGCCCAAAGCTAGCCCTAAAAAATGCCCCAAGCATTCCCCCTAAACCCTTAACCCTGAACCCTAAGCCCTAAACCCTAACCCCATAAAATGCCCCAAGCATTCCCGCTAAACCCTAAACCCTAGGCCCTAAACCCCATAAAAGCCCCCAAGCATGCTCCTTGAAGAAGCTGACTCCACGGATGGTGCGCTCTTGGCCGCAGCGCGCATCCCGACGGTTTACATAGACGGCCCACGGAGAGATCGGGCTGGCAACAGAGGGGTACCTTTTGAGGTTTGGGGTTTAGGGTTTAGGGTATAGGTTTTAGGGTTTAGGGTTTAGGGCCTTGGGTTTAGGGGGGCTTAGGGTTTAGGTTTTAGGGCTTTATGTTTACCGCATAGCATTTTTTGCTCATGGTCAAAGGGTCCTGGGTACTGTCATGGACGGATCCCCAACATAGAAACCCTACATCTTAGAGGTACTCGGAAGCCCCTGAGAAGAACCCTAAACACCCTAAACCCTTAAAGGAACCCTTAGAGGAACCGATGTAGGTACTAACAGGTGTGGACCTTATGGATGCTTTTTGGACACAGAGGTTCCGGTCTAGTGAGCTTTTAGCCTTCAGGGGCATGCAGTAGGGATCTGGGAATCTATGGGTTTAGGGCGTTCCACATGTAGATTTTTACTTGACATGTTCCACGTTTGTTTAAGTAGAGCGTGCGTATGCATGTGTATAAATACTTGTACATGTGTGTATATATATAAGTATGTATGCATATTCACATTCATAATTCTATGACTGTGTGTACATAACCTATCTACTTGTCTGCTTACTGATTCGTTTTGATGACTGCTAGTTAAGGTACTCCTCGGTGGCCAGGTTGATGGGATTGAGGCTGTCGCCCTGGAAGTAGCAGCGGGCCTGATTCGGGGACACGGTGGCGTTGTCTAGTCCCAAGAAGAAGTAGATGCCGTGGCAAAGGCTGCAGGAAGTGCAGATTGCTGCGCAATCTGCGAGGCCAAGGCAGTCGGATGAGCTGCAGCCCCCATCTGGGAGAGGAGCTCTCATCCAGGCGCTGCAATTCACATCATTTCGGATGTGCGTCTTGGCCCAGCCGCAGTAATGTGTCTGCAGCTCGGTGGCGATTGGGACACCTTGCGGTACGGCTCTTGGACTTGAAGCTTTAGAAGGCTGTTCTTAGATTCTCAGCATCTAAGTCTCCGGAAATCGAACCGCCCTCAACCTGGCAGCCATGAGTTCGAGCGACTGTCTCTCGTGTTGAGGAGCGAATACTCCTGCATGCTGCCCATCTCCGAAATGCAGATTGCACTGATCCGCGCCCCGATGTGCCATGACATACGAAGCGAGTCGAAGAGACCTGCGGATCAAATCCAGCGCGGGACAAGAGGACCAATAGTGTGCACGTTGGGCCAAAACGACTAGATGGGTGCCTTTGAGGCCCAAGTGTGCAGACACTGTCTGAGTACAGGGATGCTTAGGTAAGTACATCGCAGTTGCTTGGGGGGTTTGAGGGGTCCAAGCCGCCGAGTTCAAATGAGCAGCCCTATGATACCAATGGTATTCAATATAAGCAAAAGGAGAAGGCATTGTTGGGGTCCAGCTGAATGCGATCCATCTTTTCATGATATCGCCCTGAAGCCCGACATCGTGTCTCTGGGGGGACTCATCGGAGACAAACCAAGCAGCATGAAGCTCGGAAGCAATGTTGGGGCCTTAATAGTTAGAATAGGGTTTCGGGGCCCATTATGCTATACTTATAATAAGGAACCCCCAAAAGAGTAATTATAAGAAATTATTTAGGCCCCTACAGTACGATGAATTGGACGACAGGAGCCGAAAGTCGAGTGGAGAAGAACGCCCACACCGCAAGCCCGTGTACCCGGAACGACGCCCACCGATCGCCTGTGTCAATGTAGTGCTGGCAAACCGGAAGGCCCGAAGCCTGCGTTGGCAGGGTGTCGTCGGAAGAAGCACAACAGCATCAACCGTAAGGCTGCAGAAGCAGATGTAGTGGAGACGACGAAGAAAAGGATTACTATGACGATGATGCTCATGCAAGTGGTGATGGTGGTGGCGATGGAGCTGGTGGTAGCAGTTGTTGCTATAGTGAAGATAGTAATGATTTATGACGGAAGGATCGACAATGCCAAAAGTGATGAGCTGGCGATAACAATGGTGGTGGTGGTGGTGGTGGTGGTGGTGGCGGTGGCGGTGGTGGTGGTGGCGGTGGCGGTGGTGGTAAGAACGACTAAGATCTTCGGCTGCTCCGTCGCCAGAACTGAGTGCTAACCTTTATTTAAACCGAAACCCTGAAACCCAAAACCTTATACCCTAAAACCCAAACTTTCAAACCCTTAAGCCCCAAAGCCCTAAACCTTTACTTAAACCTAAAGTAGCTTGGGCATAGACAGAATCCAAAATGTATACCAGAGCAGCTTTCCAGCTGCCCAGCTCAAGGCCGAGCCACGGTTGGGATGGGTGGAAGTTCTGCAACGTGAGCGCAAGGCTCGCCCACGGCCCAGCTGTTCTGGAGACAGTTGCCTGAAGTGTATAGGGATTAGGGTTTAGGGTTTAGGGTTTAGGGTTGGAGGTTTAGAGTTTAGGGTTTAGGGTTTAGGGCTTAGGGTTTAGGGTTTAGGGGCTTTAGAGAGCTGCCTGAAGTCGGGCGCTGGGGCTTTAGGGAGCTTACAGTAGGGATGTAGGCCTAAACCCTAAACCCTAAACCCTAAACCCTAAACCCTAAACCCTAATCCGCTTAGGTTGCTAGGCTTCCTTGGAGGGACTTCTAGCGGCTCTCGGCCTGGTTGCGGTTTAGGGTTTAGGGCTTAGGGTTTAGGATTTAGTAGGGTTTAGGGTTTAGGGTTTAGGGTTTAGGGTTTAGTAGGGTTTAGGGTTTAGGGTTTAGGGCTTGATCATTTGGGTGATTCATCTGAAACATGTTCGGGGAGCGGTGGTATAGCTAGAGGGTTTGGGCGGAGGGCTCAGAAGGTACCATGACAAAGAGGGTTTAGGAAAGCAACACCAGCAAGACAGGCATGAAACCTACTTGCATTCTCTAGATACCCCCAGCCCAAATCATATCTGGATCTCATACTGTTGATGATAAAAATCCTGCTTTACCTTAAGGACCCTAAACTATGGGAATTATGGTATATTCCTTATTATTATGGGTAATGCAGGACTTATATCCTCAACCGTACCGAAGCGGTCCGTTCGACCCCTGCCGCCGCAAGCGCCGAATACCGAAGGCGCATCCTGAAACCCCGGACCCTTAAATCGGTTTAGGGTTGAGGGTTTAGGGTTTAGGGGATAGTGTATGTAAACCCAAAATACTACCCCAAGGGTCCATGTACCCACATACTAGATACTTTGGGCCTAAAGTACCTATACAGGGATATTGTTTTTAGGTTACATGGGCCCTTACTCCTATCGTAACAAGGGACTTAATGTTTTCCATGAGGCAGAGTCACGGCACGCACTAGACTCCTCGAGCCCTACACTGCCAGGGCGCCGCAGACCCCAACATACATCGCCCTGAACATCCCCAAAGCTCCTGGAACCCTAACTTCTCTAGACGATAGACTGCCTTAAACCCTTAAACCCTAATTAGCCCCTAAGCCCTATAAACCCTATAAGCCCCAAGCCCTGAGCCCTCCGGCCAAGGGACAAGCTATGGGAAGGCTGCCATTTGGGCATGGCAAAGTCAGGATGTTGATGCCCCAAGAGGAGCGAAAAGTCCTCGATTTCGGGTTTTAGGGTGTTTTGGTTTAGGGTTTGGGGTTTAGGGTTTTGGGCTCGGGATGTCCAAAAGAAGAGTGAACCGTCGTTGCTGTCGGGTGTCGGATTTAGTGTAGGGTTGGGGATGCTAAGGAGAGCGAACCGTCCATTGCTCTGGCATCCTATGCGGGCCTATGGGCTTGTACCGGGGCTCTCCCGTGGCTTTCGGATTGAAGTGAAGGAGGTCGGCATTGATTGGGGAAGTTTCTCGGTGTCTGGGCTGTTGCCTTCCTCCTGGCAACCCTAAAACCTAAACCCTAAACCCTAAACCCTAAATCCTAAACCCTAAACCCTAAATCCTAAACCTTAAACCCCCAAACCCAAAACCAGCTCCTAAGGTTTTGGGCTAGGGGCTTAGGCTTCAGATTACCCTAAACCCTAAACCCTTGTGCGGTTTGGTAATCATTCTTGGATCTCGGGTTTCTGCTATGGCGGTTTTTGGATTGTAGGGCTTCACGATTCCGGGTTTGGGGTATCCGAAACCCCAAGCCCTAATGTAGGGGCCTTCATGATTAGAATAAGGTTTGGGGGTATATCATACTACAATTATAACCCAGAGGGTCCATATATACTACTATTATGGAATTAGGTCCCCAAAGCCATAATAGGGATTGTTTTTTGGGACCTAATTCCTTAATGGTAGTGTATATGGACCCTCTGGGTAATAAGGAACCCCCCAGACCCAAACTATTCAGGCCCCTACATTAAGGCCCGAAATCCTGAAGTTTACCCAGTCGGGCCCTCAGACATTCTGAGGGCTTTCCGGGTGCCAGGGGGCGTTGTGTTGAAGGCCTCCATGCAGATGGCTTCTGCCACGATGGGCATTCCCGAGCCTCGGCAACTCTCCAGAACTCAAAGGGCTCCTTGAAACGGTTCCTTTATAGGGTTCTACAGGGTTCTACAAAGGGGTTACTTTAGAGGTGTTATTATAATTACGCCTTTGGTATTGAAATAGCGGCTTTGGGGTACAATGCAGTATGTTAAAATACGAATCGTGCGGCACAATCTTCAAAAGTACACCGACCCCCGTATCGACGGTTTGGGCTTTTATAGGGCTTACCGGAACACTGAGAAAGTTGAAGTTTCCTTGTGATGATCTCCAACCATGCTATAGTCGATGCCCTGCAAACTCAGCCAGCGCAATCCCAATTTGCCCACCCCAATCCCCAAACCTTAAACTCTAAACCCTAAACCCTAAACCTTAAACCCTAAACCCTAAACCCCTAAACCCCGAAACCTAAAC